TCGAAAATCCATGTATCAGGTCATGCGATCGCTACGGATGAACTGTTATGGCGACAAGCCTTGCGAACTGGAGATGCTAAGCGATGCAAGCGAAAATTTCCAGGGCGCTTTTAATCACGTCAACTATGAGGATATGGATATCAATGTTGCTATCCCCGTGTTTTCTATCCACGGGAATCACGATGACCCATCTGGCGAGGGTCATCTGGCCGCCCTTGATATCCTACAGGTTTCTGGTCTTGTTAACTTCTACGGTCGTACTCCAGAATCAGACAATATCCAAGTGAAGCCCATCCTCCTCCAAAAAGGTCGAACAAAGTTGGCACTGTACGGCATGAGCAACGTAAGAGATGAACGGCTTTTTAGAACTTTCCGAGACGGGAAAGTGAAGTTCTTCCAGCCTTCGCTCCAGAAGTCTGACTGGTTCAATCTAATGTGCGTACACCAAAATCATCACGCACATACAGAAACAGGATATCTGCCTGAAAACTTCTTGCCAGATTTCCTTGACTTTGTTATTTGGGGCCATGAACATGAATGTCTCATCGAACCTCGTTTGAATCCTGAAACAAATTTCCATGTTATGCAGCCAGGTTCCTCGGTTGCTACGTCGCTTGTTCCTGGGGAAGCAGTACCTAAACAAGTGGCTATCCTCAGTATTACAGGTCGTGAATTCAAAACTGAACCAATTCGGCTTAAAACAGTCCGCCCTTTCGTCACGAGGGAGATCGTCCTCCATGAAGAAAACGAGGCACGAAGATTCGCGAGGAAGGAAAACAACCGGACGGAACTGACACGTTTCCTGATGGGTATCGTCGAAGAGCTGATCGAAGAGGCAAAAAAAGGGTGGCTCGAGGCACAAGATGACCCCGATAATGAAGAACTTGAGATCCCCTTACCTCTCGTTCGGTTGAGAGTGGAAGTTTCGTCACCTGATGGGGGCAGCTTTGACTGCGAAAATCCTCAACGGTTTTCGAATCGATTCGTTGGCAAAGTTGCTAATGTCAATGATGTTGTCCAGTTTTATCGTAAGAAGAAGACTGTCACAGCACTCCGGCGCGGCGAGACAGACGCTCCAGACGAGGCGGTCATTTCGCATCTCTCTTCACTTGATTCAGTCAAGGTAGAAAAGCTGGTTCGCGAGTTCTTAATGGCACAGTCCCTGACTATTCTCCCCCAAAATTCGTTTGGGGATGCTGTATCCCAGTTCGTTGACAAAGACGACAAACACGCGATGGAAATGTTTGTGAATGAGTCACTGGAGAGCCAAATCAAGCACTTATTAGCCCTCGACCAAGAGCAGGATGAAGATGACATAGATTATGGCTACGGAGAGGGGCAAAGTAAGATTCAAGTTGCCATGGATAAATACCGAGCTCAGCTAGAAGAAATGTTCGCAAAAGGTAGCCAAAGACGCACTCGAGGAGCAAGAAGGTTCAAACCGAAACCTGATGGTTGGGACAGCGAGTTTGACGGACCTTGGGAAGACCAGCCTGGTGCATTCATTCATTCAGAAAACGAAGCCGAGGACAATCAGCAACAGGGCGCTCCTCCCCGGAGAGGGGCGTCCGCAACGGGCAGAAGCAGAGGTCGAGGAGGCAGCACGGCAAAGTTTCCTCCTGCACGAGCTACAAATCCACGAAAAGCAACCACCCCCACTGCCAGTACCAGCATAAGCACCCGCAGCCGTCGCCGTCAAACAGCGTTGTCGGATGATGGCGATGACGATGACGATGACGATGACGAGGAGCAGCAAGAAGATCCAATTACGCTAGACGACATCAATGAAGATGACGAGGGTGATTCTGACTCCCTATTTGTCAGACAAACGAGTGTGCAGCAGCCCAAGCCAGCAAGCTCAGTGTCCAAGCGGATGCGAAGACAAACCCCTTCAACTTCCACCGCCACCACTAAAACAACAACTATAAAAGCTCACCCTCGCATCTCCGCAGCTACAGGGTCAAAGAAGTCCCAATCGACACTCTTTTTTGCGCGCTCACAGGCAAGCCAGAGCCAGACGCTAGGCGATTCAGGCGCAGCCACAGGCACAAGTTTTTTGGTTGGCAAAAGGCCGAATCGTGCGGCGGCCAGCCGCACCACGCGAAGTGCCCGTGTGCTAAGTGACGATATTGAAGATGATGATGACGACGCGTTTGATCCTGTGCCACCTGTTAGAAGTTCACGCAGCTCGAAAAGGAGATAACCATGCCACACCCTACATTTGTATGAGTGGAATATTTCGAGTGTACGATGTCAAATCTGTACCCGATGCAAAATGTCATGACATGACATATGAGATTCTCATTCTACACATAGCCACATGAAAATATCAACACAATATCTAATTAGACAATCAAACCTATCACCCTCACAACTTTCCCCTCGCCAAAAACTTCACAGGAATATCCACCCACCTCGCCCGCAAATACTCCGCAACATTCTTTCCCAAAAAGTCCACCGTCCTCGTCACCCCAACCCCACGATCCAACAAGTTGCGGAACAAGAAATGAACCCCGCGCATCGCAGGCAGCTCGAGACGCTCAATGCTCATCATCCGGTCCTCCCGCCACTCCCCTCCCAGCAGTTCCTTAGCTTTCTCTGTCGACAGCAGCGTCCGTAGCCACTCATACTCATCTTGGTGCCGCACCCAGAAGCCGCAGTTCGCGTCGGAACCCTTGTCACCAGAGCGAGCGTGCGCAATCCAGCCCAGTGGACCATGTGTGGTCGGTCCAAAATCCGTTGAAAGATTGGCTGGGTTGGCTGTTATGGGTTGCGAGGGTTGCGGGCAGGGCCAGACCTTTGATTCTGGCGGGGCCGCAATGTCGATGGTTTGATTGAGCCAGGGGAGGTGTGCTTGATGCTGCACGTCCGTTTGCGGGATAAGCGTGACATAGTATTCAAACACGGGTTTTGGGAAGCCCTGACGCACGTCCAGATCGAAGGTGGCGCCCGGGTAACCCTGCATGATATTGTCTAAGAGAAGCTTTAGGAACCTGGGCGGGGCCAAGTGATCTTCCTCCCGCGCCTGGGCGAGTATGCGCATAATCGCTGTCGCGCTGTTCTGGTCTTTCGGATCATCCGGTGCTCTACCTAGGACGGTGAAATCGAGCACGGCGAAGTTCTTCGAGTGCGGCGCGAGAAGATGGCGGATCTGTGCTTCCAGCATGCGCGCTTTTGCGGGGATGTCGAGACCGACCATGAAATAGGATACTTGGGCCTGATACCCACACCGCGCTGTTAGGCCTACCTTTGTTGTTGGTGGTGGCAGCGCAGATTTGACACCGTGCAACGCGACACGGTTCGTTCCCAGCTGTTCGAAGTAAACGCCATCCAGAATTGCGGTGACGTCTGAGTTGAAATACCAAGGCCCCTGGATCTCATATAGCAGCTGTGACGAGCAGGTATCAACGGTCACGGCTCCCCCACTAGAATCGGATTGTTTCGTTATAACGACTTCCCCACCAGCTGAGATTTCCGCGATTGGATAACCGATGTTAGACCAGCCATCTCCAGCAGCATTCTCAAGCGACTTGAACCCTGTAAAATTTCCACCGCAGACATAGTTACTACACTCGATCAGATGGCCAGCTACAAATGCATTGGCCAATTTATCCAACTCATTCCGCCCCCAGTCATGCCACCAGTATGCCGCGCCAATAACCGGTGAAGCGTCAGATACGCGGCCGCAAATGACAATGTCTGCACCGTTGGCAAAAGCTGCAGCGATGCCCAGGCCACCCAGGTATGCCTGTGCGTATATTGGTTCAAAGGACCAATCCGCGAGCAACTCGCCGGTGTATATACTTTTAAAAGGGGAGGAGCCAGATGCAAGTGATTTTCGGATGGTGGGGAGAACTTCGTCGCCGGATATCCACGCTACCTATTTTATTTCTAAAGTCAACCACGTATAAATCAGAGAGGTAGGTAGGAAAGGGTAAAAAAAAAAAAAAAAAAAAAGGGGGGGGGAATAACCTTCAACGCCAACCCCTTCTTCCTAACCATCCCTTCGACAACTTCATACAGCGCTGGTGTATCCGCCACACCGGCATTGACAGCGACTTTAATGCCGTACCGGGCTAGATCTTCCAGTGCTGGCTCCAGGGCCCCTAGAAACGACGGATCGTATGCGGGTATTTTGCTATCACCACCACTATCCACACGTTTTCCTGCTGCAGTGGCCATGTTGTATTCGCTCATGTAGTCGGAGATGATGACATCGATGGGGTCCTGTGGGTGGTTCCGGGCGAAGGTTGCCATTGCATGACGGCGGTCGGAAGCCGAGCCGGAGGCGCCTGGAGGGTTAGTTGGGAATTAAGGGTGTAAGGGGGGATAGATATGTGTGTTTTTATTTGAACAGGTATGGATTTAAGAGGACGTACCGGCTATGCGAATGGGACGGGTTCTGGAAGACATGTCGGGGTCTGGCAGTTGATGAAGGAACGGTTTACATGTATGGAACGTCTGTATGCTAAATTGTTAGGTGATGATAGATGGGTCAATTCCATATAGATTTAAAATACATTTAGATGTCAGATTGAATTGTGCTGAGAAAGTTTCCATTATAAGGCGCTGGTTGGCTGAACATTGTAGGCTCTACAACGTTATGCTTTTGGTTGGACTATGTTAAGTTAAATTAATATTAGTTTATAGTTTAACTACGTTACTTGAATAATGCCGAGAGAGCATCTCGGTCCTCGGCATGGTTGGAGGAGGTAAGGGGAGGGGTAGAGGAAAATAATAAGAATGACCACGAGGATGTGTCCTGCTACTTCTGCCCGATGGGCGGACTAAGGATACTATTTATGTACCCCACCAGGTCATTACGTATGAGAGGGGTGTCAATGATGTCAGTGAGACATAAGTATATCCGTGTTGGAGGATATTGGGATAAGTGTAACCAAGGTGTATGTATCTATGTATGTAGGACGCTTGCATATGTTCATTCGTTGATTGCAGATAACTACAATCGTCACCGTCACCTAACTACAACATCAAAATACCTACAGCGATAAACCCTTCAACAAAACAGCGGTAGTTATAACGGAAAACAACATGACAGCCACCAACTCGGTGGCTCTCCGATATCTACAGAGCCAGATACGCAGATCGACGAGCAACATCTGGATCGAATTCCCGTTGGCCCGATCACGCATGGCGACTTTCAGACCGGGTAAGCCATCGATGCTGTCTGCGTTCATGTCAGCCTGCCAGGCGTGCAGCTTGTTGGAAGCGATCTTGTTAGCGGTCCAGCGGGCCATGGTGTCTCTGTCGCGGAGACATGGTTTGGGGGTATTTGAGTCAGGGTCGGTGGAGAGGGCGAGACGGGGAACGCCATAGCCGCAGGAGGTTTGGACCTGGAAGACGTGCAGGTCGATGATTGCCCTTGTTCCGGGGAAATTGTCCGTGTTGTAGTGCGTGACGTGGGGTTTCATGCGGTCTAGCATTGGGTGGAATTTGGGGTGATCCCATTCGATTACGGTGCCTGAGCAGAAGAGACGGAGGATGCGGGGGGCGGAATCGAAGGAGCAGAACATGATGGTCATGCGGCCATTTTCACGGATGTGGCTGATTGACTCGTTGCCCGAGCCATTGGCATCGAGATAGGCTACATGGTTTGGGGAGAGGACGGCGAGAGAGGCCGATGGGAGACCCTTTGGGGAGAGATTGATGTGGGCAGCGATGGAGGGGGCAGATGCGACGAAGAAGACGGGCTGGGAGAGGAGCCAGAGTTTAAGATCTTCGGAGATGGAATCAAAGAAGGCGACCATTTTACTGAGTTCAGAGGAGTAGTAGTAGTAGTAGTTGTTGTTGTTATCTAGATTGATATCGGGTGGGGAAGAAGCTTAATCAACTGAGTGAAGGAGACAGGGAATTACTATAGTATTATATAGTAAACATACATGGAAGTATCGTTCTACACTCGACAGCATGTGACAAGTCGACTACTATTTGTTACCTAGAGAAATGAAACCGAGAAAAACATTAAAAACCAAAAGATCCAAAAGATGTAACAATAAACAGTGATGATGGATGAGATTAAAATAAAAAAGTCGACCTGCCAGTCCGCCTTGGGCACTGTGCAGCGAGGGTGTAGTCTGGCGCCGCCATCTCCGGGGGGCCTGTTCTCTGCAGAATCGCTTCCCTCGAGGGTCCGGGCCAGGGCTTAGCGCGCCACAGCAGATCGTGGATTACTCGCACGAGTGTGGGGAGGAGACTCCCCCGGCCGACACAGCCGAGTGTGGCTCGGCTCCATTGGCCGAGAGTCTGCCGCGACCCGGGGATTCGAACCAGGCACCTCTCGCTGTTTCGGGGATGAGATGGCCCCAGAGCCACAGACACGCGGCGGATGCAGCGGGTCTCCCACTTGGACCATCACAGCTAGAGATTATTGACGATTCCCCTTCGATACGGGATTATATTATCATATACTCTGCACTGCATTTGTGTTTAATTCTTTTCCTGTGCATGTCTTTATTTTTATTTTTGTTCTGTCACATGTATGGATTTGATAGACCTCTCCGAAGTACCCGGCAAGTATTTAGCAGTCGGCTGCAAAAAATCCAAATAATGTATATAACTCGTTGATATGGGGTATTCTCCCTGGTTAATAGTTGCTCCTTCGACTTACTTTATCCCTAACCGACCCGTATGTGCGGGTTAACTCAGTTCATCCGCTAGACCGCCAGACATTCCCGTGAAGCGGCCAGATGCGGGGTAAAGGGGACATAAGAAATGGAAGAAAATGAAAGGAAAGGAAAGGCAAGGGAAGGGGGGTGGGAAAAAACAAGGAAAAAAGAGTTTTGCCAGAGCCCTTGAGCTTGATTCCCCGCTTGCAAAAAGGCTTTTTCCTCTAACCACACAATTAAGGTAGAAACTCGTTAAGTGAAGCTGGTGGTTACTTGCTGCGGATTGGCTGGCTGTAAGGCTAAGGGTTACCCCCGGGTAAAGCTTCTTCCAAACCAACCCCGCCCCCGGCTCCCCGCCTCGGCCCCTTGGCCCCGCCCCCATCCTCCCCCCGAGCAGAGCTCCAGTACCCGCTACCTGCATGACCCATACTGGCTTGGCGGGGTCGGGAGGTACCAATGACCTAGCCGGTACCTCTCCTCCTTACCCCACTCCCCCCTTCTGTTTTCTCTTTTCCCTCTTTTCCTTGTTAATGTTCCTTGTTCCTTGGGTTCTCTTCCCCAAGCTTCTTCACCCTTTCTCTTCTTCTCTTCTTCTCTTCTTCTCTTCTTCTCTTCTCTCTTCTTACCTCTTCTCTTCTATCTTCTTACTGTCTCTTCTCTCTAGTTCTCCCGTTCTCTGCTTCATCTTCCCCTCTTATCTTCCTGCAGGTAAACTATTACTTCTCCCCAGCCGTCAATACATGTCACATACACAAACACAATGGCTCTCTTCCAGCAAATCATCACTCCGACCGTCACCTATGAGCAGCCTCTCGGCCTGTAAGTTATATCCTCTTTATATATCATTTATCTTCTCATTTCCTAATATTATGCTACCCCTCTTCCAGCTTCATCAACAATGAGTTCGTCAAGGGTGTAGAAGGCCGCACCTTCGAATCCATAAACCCCCACAACGAGAAGCCCATTGCTGCTGTTTACGAGGCCACCGAAAAGGATGTCGATATCGCCGTCGCTGCGGCCCGGGCTGCCTTCCATGGCCCCTGGAAACATGTCACTCCGACTGACCGTGGCCGTATGCTACTCAAACTGGCAGACCTCATGGAGCAGCACGTCGACACCCTCGCGGCCATCGAGGCCCTCGACAACGGCAAGGCCTACTCCATCGCCAGGATCGACGTTGCGAATGCGGCTGGCTGCATCAGATACTACGGTGGCTGGGCCGACAAGATCCACGGCAAAGTCATCGACACAGACTCTGATTCCTTCAATTACACCCGCCACGAGCCCATCGGTGTCTGTGGCCAGATCATCCCCTGGAATTTCCCCTTGCTCATGTGGTCCTGGAAGATCGGCCCCGTCGTCGCCACCGGCAACACCGTCGTCCTCAAGTCCGCAGAGCAGACCCCACTCTCCGCCCTCTATGCTGCGAAACTGGTCGTCGAGGCTGGCTTCCCGCCAGGTGTCATCAACATCATCTCCGGCTTTGGCCGTGTCGCCGGTGCCGCCATCTCCTCCCACATGGACATCGACAAGGTCGCCTTCACCGGCTCCACCCTTGTCGGCCGCCAAATTCTGCAGGCTGCTGCCAAGAGCAACCTGAAGAAAGTTACCCTTGAACTGGGTGGAAAGAGTCCCAACATCGTCTTCAACGACGCTGACATCGACAACGCCATCTCCTGGGTCAACTTTGGTATTTACTTTAACCACGGCCAGTGCTGCTGTGCCGGTAGCCGTATCCTGGTCGAGGAGGGAATCTATGACACCTTCCTGGAACGCTTCAAGGCCCGTGCCCTGCAGAACAAGGTTGGCGACCCTTTCCACCAGGATACCTTCCAGGGCCCCCAGGTCTCTCAGCTCCAGTTCGACCGCATCATGGGCTACATACGGGAAGGTAAGGCGGCTGGCGCCAAGGTCGAGATTGGTGGTGAGCGTCTGGGCAATCAGGGTTATTATATCCAGCCAACCATCTTCAGCAACGTCACCGAGGACATGAAGATCGTCAAGGAAGAGATCTTCGGGCCCGTCTGCTGCGTGCAGAAGTTCAAGAGTGAGGATGAAGCTATCTCTATTGCCAATAACACCTCTTACGGTTAGTGAACTCATCCGTCCATCGTGCATTGTGTGGGAAGGGTGGGGTGGAGCGAACGACTCCTTTTTTTCTTTTTTTTCTTTTTTCTTTTCTGGCTTACTAACCGGTCTAGGCCTTGCTGCTGCTGTTCATACCACGGACTTAAACACTGCCATCCGCGTTTCCAACGAGCTCAAGGCAGGGTAAGTAAAAATGATTTAATCACAAACCCCCATCTTCCCCTTATTTAACTTTTCAGGAACACAGCTAACCGCGTCAGAACCGTCTGGGTCAACAATTACAACATGATCTCCTACCAAACTCCCTTCGGTGGCTTCAAGGAGAGCGGTCTCGGGCGGGAATTGGGAGGTAAGCTGCCTGTTCTTGTTTTACCTTTTCTGTTCCCCCCCCCCCCCCCCCCGGTCCTGTTCTCTAATGTCGGACAAATACTGACGATGAGGGTGATGTGTTTAGAATATGCCCTCGACAACTATACTCAGATCAAGGCCGTCCGCATTCGTCTAGGTGACGCTCTATTTGGTTAAGCTTGATTAGCGCTGCTCAGATTCCTTCACGTCTCTAGTCTGTACGGGATCGTTTATCTTGTATTATTTGGTCAGAGGTTGTCTCAACGTCTTAACCGACTTCTGGCCTATCTATTATATCTACTTTATTAATCTCATGAATGTTTGACATCTTGCCTCTCTCCGCTCTTTACTTCTATTTTTTATTTGTTTTTCCCCTTCGTCCTGAAAAACACATCAGCATCATCTTTTCGAGGAAAAATGGATGGATCGTCGATGGATGGGAGATGCATGGTGGACGCATGAGACCTGATCCAATCTGTTACAAGTAGTCGACCCAGTCTAGGTATTTAGCAGCATCGAACAGAATTGAAAATTGCACGACTTGGTTTGAATTCCTGTGTTCGTCTTTAATGAACTCGAGAATGGTATCTCGCAAGGTCGTGGTGTCGCTCAAGCAGAGAAAATAGACAAGCCAAGTGGTTAACCACTCCATACAGCTAGTTGAATAGTTAAATCTATTAACTTGTTATGAAGGATATTTCCCTGCCCAGCCGTGAAAGCAATGCCTGAGATTAGAATTAGCATGCGGCTGGATTTCGTGCCTAAAATACAGCGGCCAGGAACACTTCATTCTCTATGAGTCACCTCGACGGATATGAGAGAATGAAATAGCAAATATAGGTACGATTGGTTAAGGAAAGGAATATTTAGTTGCTCTGTTGAATCTAACAGGATGAGACTTGAGAGAAATATAAATGCAGAAAGAGGGAAACCATCCATGAATGTCAATAGAAACTGAAAATGTTAATAGGGAAAATGAGCCATGTCCTTTCTGTATATGTAACTCCTAAATACAAGACATGGTGTCAGATGTGTTCAAGTATTGATTCTACTAAAGACATGCAACATCACCTGGAGTGCAGGCAGAACATGTCATATACAGAATCTCTCTCTAAAACGCTGAGCTGCATGAAATGTGGATGACATTGTCATGCCCAAACAGAAGCACAATGCCAATGAAACGGCTTTGTATGATGTACAGGGAAGAAATAGAGATGGGTTTGAAGGATGTGAGATGAAATGGCAAAGGCGTTACTTCGTCACCTAGCAAAGGGAAGGAAAGAAGAGTAAATACAACCAAAATGAAGGAATAAATCCTACAAAAAATACTCGCTCTTCCCCGGCTTCATATTGGGCACATGTCTCAGATCATCCGGCACCTCCGAAAACAGTTTGAATGTTACCTTGATGTCTTCCCCTATCTCACATACTGACGCCATGTTACCGCACCGATAGCAGTAGTTAGGCGCGCTCCACACCGTTACCACGTTCTGTTTCTGGAAGTGATACTTGTATCCTTCGTTCACGAGTTGGTGCGCCCGCGCTATCAGAGTTAGATCATTCACTTGGCAGAATTCTTCAGCAACTTTGTCACCAAATAGCCAGCCTATGTACGTCGGCGTTAACGTTGACCCAACATAAACTTTAAATTGATGGGGATCAAATCGAAAACATACCGGCCCCCCGAGGGCTTACCGCCCATGTCTCCACGTCGTCTGGGTCCGACCAAACCAAGTCGCAGAACGCGCCCTCATGCGGGATCTCTTGGGCTCTAGCAACAACTCGCACCTGGTCTAGAGTTCGAATCTCCGGACTTAAACCGCCATGTACGCAGAGCACCTTCCCATCCACTATCGCCCCGAGTGTCATAAAATCAAACACCTGACAGCACGCTTTCCATACAGAGGCGTTGCCGTATTTCTGAAAACACTCCTCGTAAAACCCATACACCTGCGTGATCTGTCGGGATTCATGGTTGCCCCGAACAAGCGTAATTCTGTCTGGGTATCTGATCAGGTGAAACGTGCGGTGTCAGTTTGAGGAGGGAAGGAGAGATATGGAATGCAGAAACACACTAACTTGGCCTTCAAACAAAGTAATAAAGTCAATGTCTCCAGACTAAAATATCCCCTATCTACATAGTCCCCTAAGAATATAAAATTCCCACTCGGTAAACCGCCCACATGTGACGTATCTTCGGACTTCTCTTCTGGGCCAGGTGTTGGGGCTCCCCCCTCATCTGCGTCGCCGGTGTTTGGTCCGTCAAAATTTTGCCTTATTTTTTTTCTTAATTTCGGATTTGTGATCGTGGATGGCGGCTCAAGGTCGTCTGAGGTGATAATTGTGGGTGGGGCTCTAGGGGATTCGACATTGCTATCATTCGGCATGCCGCCTGCAACTCGGAACAGCTCAAGGAGGTCGTAAAATTGGCCGTGGATGTCACCGCATATTGTGACTGGAGCAGAAACAGGCTGGATATTCGACTCTATAAACAGGGGGTAATTTAGTATCATTTTCATATGTGAGCTCTTCCTAGACAGAAGGAAAATTGCATATAAAAAAAATATAAAAAAATATAAAAATAAAAATAAAAAATAGAGAGAGAGAATAAACAGGAGAGGTATCAAAAACCTTCCATCATATACTCCTTTACAATCTCGCAGAGCTGCTTCATGTGGTGTTCTGACAGATATTTGCAGTCTTTGGCAGCTTCCAGCCACTCATCCGGCCCAGCATTGCTCCTCAGTCGAGCGGGCCCCGGCTGGGGAACGGATTTGTCCACCATCCCAGAATTGACCCTTTGCTTTAACAGGGTATCAGGCAATATTTCGTTGCGTAGGAGAAAAGTTAGGCTAGCGAGTCTCACAAGCTCTATGAGAGGGATTGGACGAAGGAACGGGAGAAAGGTAGGGGGCACAAAGTTGAGTGAGTGCTGTGGAAGGAGATAACTGTATGAGATCAGAGACAGAATACATATAGAGGCAGCATGGCGCGTGTGTTGCAGTCTATAGTATGTGGTATAGCAATGTATGATGCTGTCGACTGTTGAATTTCAGCAGAACAAAAGTAGCGACGGTCCGATGTTGAAGGGCGGTTAACTTACGTCACAGATGATACGCGATGCTGACCAAGATTTGGTGAGACAGCCACACCGATACGGGTAATACAAATACGAGATATGCATCTATTCTTACGGATTATATATATAAGAAATTTATATAAAAATATGACTTTAATAATTATGCTTTTTTATAAATAGCTAAAAGAATTCTTAGTGTACTTCAGTAAAATTTAATATATATATATATTAAGTTATAAAAATTATTAATTTAAATTTTTAATTAATATAAAAAATAATTTTAAATAATTATATAATTAAAATTAAAGTAATTACTATTATTTAAATATTAAATTAAATAATATTAATAAAAATTATATTAATATTTAAAAAATAATTTAATATTTTATTTTATATTTATTATTATTATTATTATTATTATTATTATTATTATTTATTTTAAATATATATCATTAAAAATTATAGTATTTATATAATTAAATTAAAATTTAATTTATAATATAAATTAATATATAAAATATTATAATTTTTTTTAATTTAAATAATACTTAAATAAATATATAATATAAAATAATAATAATAATAATATAATAAATAAATAAAATATTTAAATTTAATATTATTAATTATATATATATACTATAAATGTGATGTCAAGACTCTTTATACTAGTTTCTTATTCTCACACTGCTTACCATACTGCTGATCAAAGCACTTTAGAATCAAATCTTCTAGGTTTTTATACTCACTTACTAAAGCATTTATCTTCATATTGCTTATCAAAGCACTTTAGAATTAACATCTTCTAAAGAATTAATATCATCTTAAAATTCAGCATTCAGAATCAGTACAGATCAGCACTTTCTGAAGAATAGAATTAGCATTTCATGAAGATTCATATCACTGCATTGCTAATTTCTCATTTTATGAAAGATTAAAAATAAAATTTATTGCTACTCATTTATATATATAAATACTCTGAATTCTCAAAGTTTTTTTAAAAGATTCAGTGATTAGCTACTATTCAATTCTATATATATATTTCATTCATTGCTATTCTCTTCTCTTTATAGTGCTTGCAGCATCTATATACCTCTCTTCTTACAATTTTACTTATAGAGCTTTTTATACTTTCTTTTGAAACTTAGTTTATTCATCTTAATGTCCTTATAGTTTCTAACTACTCTATGAGAGGTTGTCTGTTAAGTCTATAAACAATGAGATCAAAATATAATCTATGAGCTGACACCACACACGCAACATTCAATGAAGAAATGCATGTAGAAGAAACCCTCTATGAATAATCATCAGGTCTTACTTCAGAAAAAAACACTGAAGTACCTCTTACATCAGTTGATGAAGAGATTCAGATAGTTCAACAAGAGCAAAAACAGCAAAAGATATATAAAAACATCCTTAAACTACAATAACAAGTCAACATACTTAGTGCAGAACTTCAAATCTCTAAAAGCAAGCAGCACAGAGCAGAGTCAACAGATCACACTATTAGTGTCAATTCCACTTCTTTCAAGTCTCATTCTGCATTAATTCAAAAACTCTCAAATGAGTTTAAGACAAAAAGTCTCAAAGAATTAGAAGACTTTATCTCTTCAAGCCTTGTCTTTATGCCTATCAAGGATATTACTTTGAGAATGATGATGAATGCAAGATTCTTGAAACAGCAACACATTTTAATGCTAAACTGCAAGAGAAATGATAACAATACTACATCAAACTGAAGATATCAATTACTTGAAATGAATTCTATAACTGAATTCATGTTAAGATTATTGACTCAGATAAAGCAAGTCAGAACTATGAGTTGAAGTATTAGACATTGTAGAGGATTAAACTCTAAGAACTAAAGACTAGCTCTATTATATAACAAGGACGAATTGCTTGAGAAAGGGAAGAAAAGAATGAGATGAGAACATAAGCTTAAGCAAGCTCACATAGCATGATCATGTGCATACATGCAAACAATGACTAGGCTGAGTCAGTCAGTCAGAGTGAATCTAGAAATTCAGTCTTTTATAATATCTCTTTTTTCCCTCTTTATTACAGGCCTTTACAACTATTTAAAGCTCTCTTTATATTTAATTTTGCCTGCTGAGAGACCTTCCAAGTGTCCAAGCCTTCACTTCTTATAGAAGACTCATGTCATTTCATGTAGACTCAGCCCAACCTACTCATTTAACAAGGTATTGCTTTTTTCTCTGGTAGATTCATTCACTTCAAATTTCCTCAACCTCAAACTCAGGTCCTTCCAGGGTTTCTATAGTGAGTGACTGCCAGTTGGTTTGCCTCTGATTAGGCAGGAAATTCATCACCATAACATGTAGAAACTTTATATTAAAGACATTATGAATGTCAGATGAGATATTCAGTTGATAAGCATGAGATTCTATCTTTTCTAGCACATTATATTGATTGTATTTTGCATTCAGCTTCTTGCACAAGTGATTAGTTCTTATGTTCTCTAAGCTTAACCAGACTTTATCTCCAGGTTGAAAGCTTGAAGCTAAGTCTCTTCATCTATTTATATAGTTCTCTTGAGATTGCTGAGCATCTGTCATTTTTACTTGAGCTCACTTCAACACTATACAGACTTTTCTCATATAATCATCTGCAAACTCAATGAGATTATATGGCATTTCAACATGAGGTGCATCAGCTATATCAATGAATGAGACATGAAAAAAATGTATTAAAAAGAATGAGCTCATACCTGTTGAGACAGCATCTTTATTATTGATGATCAGCTCTGCCAGAGAGAGCTATTCATGCCAGTCATTCTGTTAAAAGCTAATGTACTTGCATAGATAGGTTTTCAGGGTCTGATTTATTTGCTCTGTAGCTTTGTCAATCTTTGATTGATAGACTGTGAAAAGTCATCTCTTAATATCTAATTTCTCACACACTTGAGTTCAAAATATGCTTATGAAAGCTGATCCTCAATCTGATACTACTGCTTTAGAGATGCCATGTCAAAAGATGATGTTGTGAAGGAACACTCTAGCTACTGTCTTCATATCAGTTTTCTTAACTACTTTTAATATAACTATCTTGATCAGTCTGTCTATTATAATCATGATGTTTATATATTCTTTAGAGCTTGATAAGTTCACAATAAAGTCTATAGAAAGCTCCTGCCACATGTGTTCAGGAATAAGAAGGGGAGAGACTTAAGCAGTCTCTAATATTGATCTCTTCATGCAGTGTTTGATCTGCAAAGATGATAGTTCCTGGTCATTCTTCTCACATCAGCAGTATAGTCTGACTAGTAGAACTCACATCTTAGAACTTCTGCCATTTGCTCTCACCTGAGATGGCCAGTAAGAGGTGAGTCATAAACCTTGTGCACTAATCTAGTTTGAAGAGGTTTGAAGTCTGACACTCACTTACAACCTTGAAAGAGAAGCTCCTTATTCTCATTTAAAAAGCACTCAAAGACAGAGGCCTTAATGCTGAGTTCAGAAGAAAATCTGAATCTTCTCTCATGAAGAGTCTGCTTTAGACACTGCAGAATCTTGTCATTTTTGTGAGCCTTATTTCACTGAGCTTGAAGAGACATTTCAGATTTCACACTGGCAGCAGCCACTCTTAGTTCTATTCCAGATTCCAGCACATTAAACTTAAGTAGTTGAGCTTGTCTCTGCTTGATTCTCTTATCATTAGCACTTTGTGACATGTTTTGCTCTCTTTGTGATAAGATGTCTGGTCCAGCATTCAACTTCCCTGGCTGGTAATCAATTCTGAAGTTGAATCAATAGAGAATATTCATTCAACATAGCTGTCTTTCATTTAGTCTGCATGTAGTCATGAAGTATTCTAGATTTTTATGATCTGTGAAGATCTTGAATTCCTTTACACTTTGTAGCTCAGCATCTTATTTCTTTAAACACTCAATTATTGCTAATAACTTCTTATCATAAATCTCATAGTTGTATTCTGCAGGTGAATGCTTATGAGAGAAGAAGACATATGAGTGTAGAATGCTCTGCTCATCATATTGTAGTAGCACTTCTCCTGAGACATAATCTGAGAAGTTCATTTTCAATATAGTCTCACAGTCAGAGTTGAATTGAAGCAGGATTGGAGTGAAGATAAACATTGATTTTAGACACTTAAAAGCTTTCTCAGCCTTGCTCATCCATAAAAAAGAAACATTCTTGTATGTAAGAATTGTCAGTGAGATTATGATCTTTGAGAAATTCTTGATAAATTGTCTATAGAAATTGACAAAGTCTAAAAATCTTCATACATCTTTAAGAGTAGTAGGTGTCATTCATTTCAAAACAGCTTTAACCTTCTCTGAATTCATTCATATACCCTTGCTCACTTCAATGATGAATTCAAGATATTTTGTGTTGTTCATCTTGAACTCACTCTTTCTGATGTCTGCCTGCAGGCCTACTTCCTGTAGACACATAAGCATCTTTTGTACATACTCATGATGCTCTTGTAAGCTTTTTGAGGAAAATATCAAGATGTCATCTAAATAGACTGAGCAGAAGTCGTCCAAATATTCATATAATGCTCAGTTGATATATTTTTGAAATGTACTTGGAGCATTGGCCAAACCAATAGGTGTAATCAGCCACTCAAATAGCCTGTATTTAGTTCTAAAGGCTGTCATCCACTCATCATTTTCCATGATTTGAATCTTGTGAAAAGCTGCAATAATATCCAGCTTAGTGAATCATTTAGCTTGTCCAATTCACTGTAGAGTCTCACTGATTAATGATAGAGAATATCAATTCTTTTAGATGATTTTGTTAAGAGCTTGATAGTCTACACAGAATCTTAGCTCACCTCCAGGCTTCTTCACAAATAGTATGAGGGTGATTGCAGGAGAGTTGCTCACTTTAATAAAACTCTTATCTAGATAATCTGTAAGAGTCTTTCACAAAGCCAGTAGTTCCTCTCAAGACATATTATATAATGGGCCTCAAGGGGGTTGTTCCACACTACAATCAGTCTTTTTAATCAGTTCAATCCCATGATCTCTACCTGGGTCACAAAGTGGGGGTAGAGTGTCAGCAGCTTTCTTATCAAATATGTCCAAAAACTCATGATAATGTTCAGGCAATTTTTCTCTAGAGTCAATCTTTGATTTTACTTCTAGAGTCTTTTGAATGTCAGTTAAACTGACAGTGAAGATCTTGATATTTCACTTCTCTCAAGTGCTTACAAGTCTAGAGAAGCTTACAGCAAAAATGGGAATCACATCAGCTTTTGCATTTGAACTAGACTGTATCTCTATATCACTCTTTTCAAATCTCACAATTCTTTGATGAGGAATCATGATTATCTTTTGCTGGGCCAGCCAGGGGTCATCTAAATACATATTATGACTATATAATTCATTCACCATGTAGAGAAAGGCTCATTCAGTTACATAACTATCTATATCAATTTGAATGCCAGTCACTATGCTCATAGAGAGTCTCATAAAGTTTTCAAAGCTGATCATTTTAACAGGGGGAATTTCAATGCACAGGAGCTTATGCTTATTAACATAGAATTGAGAAATAAGATCATAGACATTACATTTACTGTCTATCATTGCTATAGTTGAAAAGGCATTATCTACTAAAGCATCAACAGTGAAGGGTTTGAATATCATATGAAATTTAAATCTTCTCCATTGCTTTCTCATAAGCTCCTTATTTTGCTCCTTTCAGTGTCTTTTGATTGGAGCTACTCTTTTCTCAAATCCTCACTCATATCCACATCATCATTGTTCAGTACCAGCTCAGAAATCATCTTAACTATCATGGGAGTGGCAGAGTGTCTGAGAGATTTGAATAAGCAGCTCTTAATCATATGACCTTCAGCTTCACATCTCATACACAGGCCTTGCTCTCTTCATTGATTAACCTCTGTCTGATTTATCAATTTGATGTAGCAGGTGCTTGGGGTCACAGCACCAGGAGAGAGATTCATCAGATCATCAGTGAAAGCTTGAGACCAGTTTCATCAGTCAAGGAGAGCATGACAAAGTAGAGAGTGTGAATTAGATGTTGTATGATTCAAAGAAGATCTGCTCTTGCAATGTTTAGATCACTGTCTTAAAGTCTTAAGCTCAGAGAGTTGATGATTAACTAATTTAAGCTTCTTGCAGTAATTCTTGTAGAGAGATGATTCTCTTACACTCATCATGCCTTTCCTCAGCTCCATGCTTAGAGTGAATTTCAAATACCTCTTTTTAATGTGATCATCTCATCTGTGATCACCAGCTTTCAGCAATAGCTGATTAAATTCAGATAGAAAGTCAAAGAGAGCTCTTCTAATCTGTTGTAGATTATTGAGCTTTTGTATAGTCTTTTCCTATCATGCAGAATTACTAAAGAGCATGTGTGTCTGTTTCAGTAAGCTCTCTACTGTGAAGTTGATCTTGTTCTTATTATTCTCAACTCAGAGGTAAACTCAAGTTGCTGCTATTTCTTTCAGTCTTGAGTACATATACTAAGCACATTCTTCATTATTATCTAAAGCTTTCTCATCAATCTTAAGTTTTGATTGAAGCTTTAGCTCTCACTGAGGGTAGTGCTTCAGATTAGAATTATCATACTTCTTGCAGTTCAGTAGATTGGTCTTTGATCTTCTGACTGCAATGAGTGATTTTGAGTTTGATTGAGAGAGAATTGATGTCAGAGTATTTAAAGCTTGTCATATATTAGCTATTTCAGCTTGCTGAGCTGCTATTAAATCTCTGTTCTCATGCTGGACCTGTTCCTGCTGTTGAAAAAAGGTCATTCATTGTTGTTCAAAGCTGCTGAGGATGTCTCTACTCATTGCTTTGTGTTGATTCATTTGTGTATTTGTTGTACAAGTCTGCTGCTTTATCTCATTCAGCTAGACATTTTCAATGTTGCTCATTCATTTGTTAGCATGATTGCTAACTCAGTCTATTCATATACCAATGCTATCACTGAACTTTGTGATGTAGAATTTAAGACTTTCAATAATCTATCATATGTCAGCATGTTTGCTGAGCTTTGTGATACAGAATTAAGACTCTCAGTGGTCTATCAATGAAAAGAGTGAAGCAATTCATAATGTAAAGAGTTAAGCTCTAAAAACTAGAGGCTAGTCCTCCTATATAATAAGGACAAATTGCTTGAGAAAGAGAAGAAAAGAATGAGATGAGAACTCAAGCTTAAGCAAGCTCACGTAGCATAATCATGTGCACATGTGCAAATGATGGCTAGGCTGAGTCAGCTAGTCAGAGTAAATCTATGGGTTCAACCCCTTATACTTTCAGAATCTTATACTTTATAATAGTATTTTATACAAATCTAAATCACTCATGAATAATCTCAGAATCCTCATATGAAGCTCACTGATGATTGTACTCGCATGAGAACTTGAATTTCAGCTTATCATAATACTTGATAAAGTTTTATACTCAACATTCACTCACTGTGAATAAGAGGTTGAATCCTCAGCTGACAAGAAGAAGATTGATCATTTCTCATACAGCTGCAACCTGGAGAGACTGATCTTGTTCTTTTATGATCAGAATTCATTGAACAAGAGATTCTTCCTCTGTAAGACTAAGTTTCTGATTTTTTGAGAAAGTGTTAACATATGCTGTATGATCATATACTCAATCACTTAGAGTGAAACATGAAACATCATACAGCTTTGCTGCAGCTCATACACTTGAAATTTGATCATTTTTAAATGCTTGAATGACTAAAAGAAGTCTTCCTTCCTGAGTAGAGGCTTTATTTCTTTGTGTGGTTGACATTTTTGATGATGAAAATGTTGTTCTGAGATGAAATAAAAAGTGACAAACTTGCTTATGTGGCTGACTCACTTATTGATTATGTTAATTCTAAATCTTATTAAATCAACTAATTCTAAATTTTATTAATACTATGATAATTGAAACTGTATTGTGGCATAATCTATAGATGAGAATAGAGTTTTACTAACTACTCAGATGTTTAAAATCATCAAAAAATAAAGAAAATGAATGAAAGTAGTATCGCATCACCACTGTTTGCCCTTTTGACTGATTATTAATAAAAAGAGTCATGTAAGGAGGAAAATGTCTAAATGGAAGACATCGAGTTGACTCAGAATGCATCAGAGACGCATTTATACATTATTTACAAGGGCACATGTATGTAGAATACATTACATGTAACAATTGATCCCCTCCCACTCATGTTTCTCATCTTTCCAACTATTTCGATATCGAAATTGCAGTAAGCAAATATAAATGCCAGCACCTTTTGTTTGGTGCTAACCGCAACAGACAGTTACTTTGCAGGCGTCCCTAGTATAGTAATAACTTTCGCATCAGCAGCTCTCTAATATAAGGAAAATGCCCTCTCACCACACAGAAATATTAGTTTACTCACTTTTCTTCGCCTGATCTCCATGAAAACACAAAAAAGCCTAGGAAAGATCCTATCAAGATCGAAATGATTATGTACCCGTTGTAGTACATGGCCAGCAGCATGATAATGTAAGCAACTCCGAATTGCATCATGTGAAGCAGCGAGCGGGCAGTGTGCTGAAGAAGTGTAGGTCGCATCTGAGATTGTGGCTGTAGCACAGATGCTTCAGTCGGACTTTCACAGGAACTGGTTGTCGACTTCGGGTTCACGTTCGCCCGCTGCAGGCGGGTCGGGAGACTCAAGCGTTTCCCAGCGAGATACCTGTCGAATTCACTGCCGACCCGTCGGAGGAACTCGAGAGTCATGACGAGGAGGATGACGCCTACACATGACCCTACAAACATTCCTCTAGATGTAATTCTCCACGATGAGGAAATGAAGCCTATCAAAAACAGTTAAAAAAGAGTTAGCAAACCAAATTAAATCAAATCAAAATGAGGATTTTGGAGGGTCGATGGACATACAGGCATTGATGACATGCCAATTCCAAAGCATCTAATGAAAACCAATTTTGTCAGCTCCACACCTCACACCTCACACCCCAGAGCCTGTACTACAGCCTGCAGCGATCCCGCTGGCAAATCACTGTTGTTTCCCCCTTTCTCGTAAGGAGGCTGCCACATACAGAAATCACGCAGGAGCTACCGCCGCCGTGCATTCCATGCATGGCGGAGTGATCATTGTTTGCCGAAGAGTGGTTCATCGCCATATGCATATCCATCTTTTCGGTGCGAAATGTTGCGCTCTCTTAAAAAGAGCGACGCAGGCAGCAAGGTTCGCGATGTAACAAAGAAACAATCCAAGTTATGTGCTTTGGCAAAAGTCAAGGAGGTTGGGAGGCTGTGTATTGGACTAAATGACAGACATGGCAAATTGTACAAATTTTGGAGCAGCAGGAGTCAACGGCCTCATTTATACTTCCCCTGCCATATTTTAGACTTGCCGGGAAGCGATCACCACGGCGCTGGAAGATGTGCAGCTCAAAGTTTGTTGCATATCGACCCATGGATCGCCCCAAGGGATCGAGTTCGGCAGAACCTGGCTCATTGGATCTTGGCACGTCGCAATATCCTATGGTGAGTTGATTTGAGCAGAATATTCTCTAAGCTTGTTGATAATACAGGAAAGGTAATAAACCGCCGCTGAATGGGGGTTAGGACACTGGGGAACGTAGAGTGCAAATGATCATTGCGGTTAATGGTGTGGATCCTTCCGCCGGGCTAGACCTTGCGGTGTGTATATTTGGAAGCGAGGTGGATTGTTAGGGTAAAACGAATCCTCGCTTACACTTACACTTTATCACAGGGAATTGTCCTGTTGGATTAATAGCAACAGCCTGATCAGATTTAGTCGCATCATCTCACTTTCACAATTATTATAAATGATCTCCACTCATTGCAAACATTCTATTTTCATGTTTATATATATATATATATATATTTGTTTATATATATTTTATTATTATTATTATTTTAATTTATTTATTCATTTATAATTTCTTTTTCTCACAATTCTTTTTATTTTATACATTTTGAATATTTTCTTTATTGAGTTATATTATTCATATAATGTAAATCAACTATGTAGTTGATATAATTCTCTATTTAATAATTATTTTCACTTTTTCTTTAATGTAAATTTGCTTCACTTTACAGCTTAATAACCATCTATAATTACTTGAATGATAATATATTTAGACTGATTTTTCTACTAAGATGTTTAATTCATGAAAAATTAATAGATTTAATTTTTCTTTTTATTTTATTAACTTTATTTTTATTATATATAGTTAATTTTTTTTAAATTAATTATATAGTATAAGTAAATTTATTTTATTAATAAAATTATTAATGTTATTAAATAATATATTATAATTAATAAAAATTAAATAAAAAAATTTTTTATAAATTAATTTATAATAATATATTAAACTTTATAAAAATTTTTTATAAAATAATAAAAAATTAATTAAATTTAATTATATAAATATTATAAATTAAAAATTATTAAATATTTTTTTTTTATAAAAAACCTTTAATTCTAAAATTTTATTTAAGTAGTTTTTTATTTATTATAAATTAATTAAAAATTATTAAATTTTAAAAATAATTTTAAAAGATATAAATAATAGTTTTTAAATTTTTAATAATAAAAATAAAATTATAGTAGTTAATTAATAAATTTATATTAAAATAAAAATTAATAAATAAAAATTAAAAAATAATTTATAATTAAATATAATAAAAAATATTTAATATTTTAATTAAATTATTAAATATAGCTTATAATAATATATTTTTATTTAATTTAAAATAAAAAGTATAATTTTTTAAAAAAAAAAAATTAAATTAAAATACTACTAATCTAGTTAATTAATTAATTAGTTATATATTTTTTTTAAGATAGAAGAAGTTTTTCATTAATTTTGTAGCTGAAATTGAAGTGACTAACTGTAAAAGTTTAATTAGTAAATCAACAGAAGTTATTTAAATTTGAAAAGTTTGTCTGGGAAGGTAATTTACTATGTTATGTTGCAGACCTTTTAAAGCTGATTTGTAAATAATTCTTAATATAATTAATCTATTTTTCCTATGTGGTTGTTGTCCTCTTTAATTATCGAACTGTACAGTGATGAGGTGGCTCGCACACCTATATATTAAACACGGTAAAATCCCCCTTGTTTCATTCCACCGAAACAGCCACATGTTCAAACGCTCTGTTCAGAGATGACCGACCCTGGAGAAAAATTATTCTCGATGTTTCCATTCTACCTCGGTTAAACATGCTGTCGTTGGTCTTGAAAATCGCCGGAGCCGTTCTTACCGGATAATCGTTTAATTATATAGTGCATCCCCCTGGCACATCATAACAAAAAGCTTCACCTAGTCGAGACACCTTTTGACAGATGTGGAAGCCCTTTTTGTTTTTTGCTATACCTCGTTGCTGGGGTATATGGTTTGGGAGAGGGCAGAGAATTCCTCTTTAATCGAACGCATGCTCACAAATCTGCTGAGAATGGTTGCGCTCCCTGCTTTATCATTTGTTCCGCTCTGTCGAGCTCCACCAAACGGTTGTTGTCCAACAACAGCGCCTGTTGACTTGCAATTGATGTAGAAGTTCCCAGCCGTATTTCTCAGTGCTTCCTCAGCGTACCGAATGGCGTCCCTTTGTACAGAAAAGACTGAACCAGTTAGGCCGTACTCTGATGTATTATTGATGGTTCCGCAAATTTTTTGGAATGCTTCAATAGGAGATCTAGTGTCGTCATACACATAAACGACGAGAATGGGTCCAAAGAGTTCGGTAGACATAAGTTTGTGGTGGGGATCCTTTGCGAGGTAGATAGTAGGTTGAATGAAATACCCCCTGCTACCATCATATTTCCCCCCGACAATCAACTCAAGTTCGGAGTCCTTATTCGCAGCATCCATAACTCCAGTGAGCTTTTTGAAAGATACCTCATGGATGACGGGCCCGATAAAACTGCCAAAATCCTCCGGCGGGCCTGACTTCAAACTTTCTGTCTCACTGACGAGCAGAGATTTAAACTCTTCCCAGCGGGACTGGGGGACGTAGGCACGAGAAGTGGCACTGCATTTTTGTCCCTGATACTCAAAAGCGCCACGAACAGTGTTGATGGCAGCATTGGTAATATCAGCAGAAGGGTGGACCAGGTGGAAATTCTTGCCGCCAGTTTCACCAACAACTCGGGGATAGCTTCGGTATACGCCATTCGCAATGCATTGACCTATCTTTCCATACAAAGACCGGAAAACGGAGCTGCTTCCGGTGAAATGAAGGGCAGCGAATTCCTTGTGCGTGAGGACAATGCTCGTAACCATTTCAGCATCGCCAGGCACAAACTGAATCACATTTGGGGGAAGGCCAGCTTCAAGGAAAATTTGGTACAGAAGATAGCTCGCGGCCATGGAAGACGGCGATGGCTTCCAGACAACGACATTACCAAGAAGGGCGGGCGCGGCACATAAGTTACCCCCGATGGCGGTAAAGTTGAAAGGAGATATGGCATACACAAATCCTTCTAATGGGCGGTATTCCACGCGGTTCCAAACACCTGGCGAATGGTGCTGAGGCTGCTGGGCATACAGCTCCTCCGCATACTGAACATTAAACCGTAGGAAATCCGCAAGCTCGGCAGCAGCATCTATCTCAGCCTGCCAGGCGTTCTTCCCTTGGCCAAGCATGGTGGCGGCCATGATATCGTAGCGGTACTTCCCCGCTACCAGATCAGCAGCCTTGAGAAAAACGGCAGCTCTATCGGCAAAGGAGAGAAGTTCCCATTCTGGCTTGGACTTCAGGGCAGCGTCGATTGCCTGATGGACATGTTCTTCGGAGACATTATAGTAATGAGCCACAGCTTCAGCGTGGAAAGACGGGTTTGGCTGGCGAGATAGGTCGGGAGATTTGATCTGGATGATGGGATTGGAGAGTAAGCATTGGAAAGGATGGCTTAACCCAAGTTTAGTAAAAAATTGAAAGGTGGTTTTTTTTTTAAAAAAAAAAAAAAAAAAAAAAAAAAAAAAAAAATCTTAACATTTTTGCCTCCGATAACAGCTGGGACTTCAAGAGGGAACTTTTGCTTCAGTGATTTTAAGGAGCGTTCTAGTCCCAAACGCTCCGGCGAATTTTTCCCATAATGTTGCTGGATTTTAAGGGAGAAAGTTAGCAGTGGCGGAGAAAAGACAGCCAACTCAGGACAGAGAATGGAGTAAACCTGCATTTGGTTCGTTGCGCGCCCTAGGAACCTTGAAGCCTGCAAAGCTGCCAAAACTACGGGCAAACCGCGAAACAGAGGTGATGGGGGTGGCCTGCACCGCTGCGAGCGGAGAGGTGGCGGATGCGGCAGGGATTCTATGCATAATGTCTATCTCTCATCCACCTTGGAATCTGCTGTTGAGGAATGCGCACGGTTTGAGCTTTGAGCAAAAGAACGCTTGAGGGGACGTAAAAGGTTATATAAGCGTAAACTAGTGGAGTTAACTAGTTAGTTACAGTTAACTAACCACTATAACTAAGCTAATAGCAGTTAGTTAAAATCCACAATTAACTAAAATAACAACGGCGCACTGCAGTCCGTCCTGCCGGAGGGAGAGAAACAGAGACGGAGCGGGTCAGGGGATAGTTACATAATTAATATCTTTAATATCTGATGTCAAGTTCTGCCAGGGACGTCCCACAACTAGATCCCCGGGCGGAATTTGCTGGTTTGCAAGGATGAACTTAAGAAACCGGAATCGGTCTTAGGCCAGAAACAACAAAGAGTGGCGAAACACTGACGATACCGAGTTCTTCTTGAACCAACATTCATCAGTAGTATTATTTGGCTTTGCAGTCGGCTGCCCTCAGGTTGGAGGCTACCCACTCTAATTACATAGCTTGCAAATGTAGCTTTAGGGATATATAAAGGTAAACGATCCAGTTCTCTCGAGCCGAGCCGGGGACAAAAGAACCGACCTTTTTGGCAGAGCACTAATTATGGATCTTCGTATGCGGGAAAGGAGTGGAGCGAGTTTAGGAGGTGGTTTTGACTTCCAAGGATATTAGTGCGGAGTAACAACTCGTTTTGCAGCGGGTCACTGCGGAGGGACGGAGTAACTTGGAACGAGGCAACCAAACCCAATCAAACCCAAAGGGTCACCCAATGGAACTGGGGGAACAGTTGTATCTCCAAACCAAGGGGAACATCACTGTGACCGGAATCTACAGGGCAACGCCGGATAGCCCCGTTTGGCCAATGCGTCCGCGGGGGCAAATCCGCTGCCAGACGAGGAGGAAATCCGGATGAGATAGACGGAGAGAAAACATCCGGATGTTGGGTAAATTAATCGACATTTTACCATAGATACAGACAATAGCTGACTCAGGGCTTTTGTGATACCACACTAGTTAATTAGCTAGTTAGACCCTCGCGGATGCCAACATCTGACAGGAAAATTTCCACATTGATAACTAGTTAACTACAAAAAGCCAGTCCACTCACAGACATAATCATTATAGTTACCTATTTAACTTACCCAAGCAAGCCCAGCCTGGGGAGATCTGTTCATAATTCATCCCGGTGGAGGGATGGCTTCCGGCGAAGACGGAACATCGCTACGCCATATGCCCTGACAAATGCCGTTACAACACCACCGGGCCGCACGCTTCCAATCTTCAACCCCATGAATGCCGCCGAGGTTGACTGAGGCACTTTTGCAAATACCTTCTTAGGGCCTCCCAGCGCAGTTAGGTTGCGTTCCGCAATGACTTCCGGAGATGCATTCCCATTGATAATTGTCAAGGCAGTTTCGTCATCCATGCGGTTTGCCCACAGATCGTATATGTCCCATGTCTCCTGGATTTCGGGAGCAATTCCGCTGGGCCCCCGATCCCAGAATATGTCTTCCAGTGAAGACTCCATCTGCCTATCGCTGGCTGCTGCGTTGAGGAACAGGACAACTTCATCCCCTCCAGCAAGACTACCACTAAACATCTGAATTTCCCCTTGTTTTCCTAATTCATCCACGTCCCCGACATACTTTCTCCATTTACGGGTTGCGGATAAACCAGCAGAGTCTTGTGAGATCGCCAGGACTGCGATATTTTGCAAAATGGAGAGGCTTTTTGCATCAATCTTACTCAAGACAAGTGACATCAGCAGTGGTGATTTTAATGCCGCCCACAAGCTGAAGTGTGCGACCATTGCGTCATCCGTCAACCCCCCATTACCCACCACTTCCTTGTGTGTCAGTTAGAAAGCTCTTGCGTTGCCAGAATTCCTCTCTTTAAAGGGATAGTTAACACATACCGAGCATGTCCAAATCATTCCACGCCCCAGAAAATCCCTTAGATGGAAGGTAGGCTGCTTTGTTAAGAACATTCATCACCGAGCAGCGGAATCCAGGGAGCTTGCAATCAAGACCGCCCAATTCTGCGCAGGGGCATTCCGGTGTTTCCCTGTTATAGTTGAGGAATAGGTCTCCCGTTATGCGCCACGAATTAGCAATAGTGGGCGCAAAGTTCCATGGCCCGTCGATACCCCAGTTGCACAAACTATACAAAATCGGTCTGCCTGTAGCGTTAAGGGCCTTGCCCATGACGTTGTACCGATTGAATGAAAGGAGGGGCGTCCCTTCCTGACCCTCATTGTAGCAGTTGTCATATTTTAGATAATCGATCTGAGATTTTACTGTTAGTCGACCTCTCCTGACATCAATCCTTCTGGCTTAGGGTTTTGCCTGAACTTACTCCCCAGCTTGCCCAAAGCTCAGCATCTTTCTCTTCATAGCCCAGCGAACCTTCGTAGCGAGCGCATGTCTTGGTTCCAGCGCTAGAGTATATTCCGATTTTCAGGCCCATGGCATGTATTTTGGCGGCAAGCCCATCAATTCCACTCGGAAATTTCTCGAGATTCGGTTGTAAGTAGTCGGATGAATTGCGTCCCGCAGACCAACAATCATCCAACACAATATATTCATAGCCAAGGTCCATGAAACCCAGCTGAACGATCTTATCCGCTGCGTCAAGAACCACTTCCTCATTGAGGTCGCAATAAAACGAGTTCCACGTATTCTGTTTTTTGGAGAAGGGGATGTTAGAATTAGCTATCCAACAAGGCCATGCTCAAGTATAGAATAGCTATTTAACGTACCCAACCCATCTGTGGCGTCAACGCCAGCCCATTATCCAAAGCCGGAGCGCAGCGGGCGAATAATCCCACAGCAAGACACAAAGCTGAGGGGATCCAAACAACCATACCAGATGCTTTCGCCGGCAATGATGAAATAAAACCCCCTCTTAAAAAAAAAAAATAAAAATAAAAATAAATAAAAATAAAATAAAAGTAATGCTTAACATGATGATATATCCAGGTAGCTATGTTGGCACAAAATGAATCAAAAACCCAGACTGGTCAAGACTAGGAACACGAGAGTACCAGGAGCAGTTAAGATTGTGATTATTTGATTAGTTATGCTTATTTCCCTTGCACCAATAGCTACTCTGCACATTTTCCAGGTTACATTTCGTGTTGATTTTACCCACATACCAATACCAACCAATGACGTTGACTACCCTTCATTGAGAGAAGGGACAATCCGGCTGTGACTGGGAATGGAGGAAATGGCGCCCAAAAGCAGTCAAAAGCTCAGGCAACTATCTAACTAGTTAAACTAGGTAACTAGTTACTAGTTACCACTCTTAAAAATTTAACCATGAAACTGTGGAGTCTATGTTAGATTTGAGTGACTGTGTCATTATTAACCAATCACCTGCACAGATCCATGTATGTTGGTAGATGCTGCATTCCGAATTGCTGTAGCTAATAGAATATTATGATACCTACCTAGGTAACTAGTTCAATAGATCTCCGTTGGTATGATATACAAATAATATATCATATTGCCCAGTTCTATCGTCACTGTAAATCCCAGGCAGGTTTGAAACGCGATTCTTGTTAAGCTCCTCGAGCGCCCCTGAAGAGCGCACTTGGGTGGAAAACTGTGCCATCCTCAATGGTCCAACCCCCAACCCGTATGTGGGAAGGGGTGAGGTGGAGGTTGAATATCAATTAGGAACTGAAACCCCGGTTTCTGAAGGCCGGCAAGGAATGAGATCACAGTTTTTCGACAGGTCGATTTGTTATGCATGAAACAAAACAACGTACCAAATGCTGTACTTGACACATAGAGGTTGACAGACAAAGCCTTTAGGCATATGACTTCTTCTCCACAAGCACAGGGGTTGGTCGCAACTCGTCTCGTCATTAAACACGGTAAATTGATGCTTCCATAATCAGTGCTTCATACGGTGTATATGCCTGTGCGCATATTGCAACGAAGTCAAATACATTACTCGGATACATCTCAACCGTTAACGGAAGCGCCTTGTGCCTGTGACTCCTCAATAGTGGCGTTCTGTTTGGCCTTGTTTTTCCCCCGGGTATAAACGCGGTTGTCGTTCGGATCAAAACCTCCATTACCCCATAACGCCCATCCTTCGGTCTCCCTCATATAGTCTTCAGGACGAAATTGGATACCGTCACTTTTCTCTCTCTGTAGAAGAATGAAAAATTTATCGTAATCGATTCTCGTATGCCACCGATCGTTCACAAAGAAGCGTTTTGACGCAAGAAGAATACAACAGCTGTGACTGTGTTCAGCAGCAATGCCGTACCCAAGACCACGCCGGGACAGTTCAGCATTTAACGCAACAACAAAGGAGACGACTTCTTCATAGAACGGAACATTTTTCATGGTCAACCCAGCACTCGCACTAGTACTTGTGCCACAAAAAGTCACCCCCTTGACCTCGACGAAACAAGGAAGACCTTTTTCTACAAGATCGGCATAACCAACTACTTCTTCGTCGACATTGAACCCCTTGACAAGTGTAAGCCTATAAACGGTCCGCTGGAAGTATCTTTTTTCTCGCAGAATGGCAATGCAACGCTGGAATCTTTCCCAGAAGTCACGATGAAGGGGGCGGTCGATCTTCCGAAGGCTTTCACGATTGCTGGCATCAATAGAAACATATAATTGGGTAACGCGATCAAGGGTGGCAAGTTGATCCGGATGCTGTGCATTGCAGACCAGGAAGCTAGAAATATGTTCGCCGTGAAGAAGCTCCAGGAATTTGTTGATATGAGGATAGAATATCGGCTCGCCAACCAAACTCAGAGCACAATGTCGAATACGCATCGCCTCTGCGAAGCGTTCCGCTCGAACACCAGGTACACCTCGTAGCATTTTGATCTTCTTGTAGTGACCAGCTTTTACCCCATCAAAAATGAGATCTGGAGGATCGGCCCTCCACCGCCAAGTGGTTCCCACTGGATTTGTTCCATGGCGCCAACAGAAGACACATTTGTTGCTGCATGAGAGCGAGGGTGTGGTTTCCATACAAAGGTGCGACTTAATTCCGTAGAACGAATTCTTATAGCAGGAGCCCCGTCCTCGCAATGCGGATTTTGTCCAACGACATATCTTCACCCCCGAATGTGAGCCAACAATTGTGTATCCCTGCTTCGTTAGCGCAGCGTGAGTGGGAGACGATGTGGGTACCATTTCAAGCTGTGCAGCAGGTTTAAAAGATTGCGTTCCCGACTGCGTCGTAAAATCGATAGGCAATAATTGAGAATCAGCTGAAGTCTTCTTCTCGTCGGAAATTGCGAACTTGATGTCTTCCATATCGACAATCAGCTGTTGTTCCTGGTCTTTCTTTAGCCTGTTCCCGCCATTGGTTTTGTTTTCTGTGGGCTCGCCATCAATATCTTCTTCCTCATCGCTTTCGATGGGATCGCCACTTCCGGGAACACCTTCCCCCAACCCTCCCCCTAACGCCACCAGATCGGAGAGAACATCACTCAAGCCGTCACACCACTCACTGAGAACAATTTGAAGGTTTTCTCCTTTGACGTCTGCCAATCCTAATGGATACGCTCTCTTCTTTCCCGTCAGCTTGGCCATCCATCTATCCACTTCCTTTGCCTGCGAGCAGAAACCTGCTTCTTCGGTAGGCCAGCCCACTCCATCTCCGAAACCAAATACGGAATACCCTACCAACCCAGATAGAGGGGAGGTATTGATGCGGAAATCATTATGGGTTTCATTCAGATGGTCCAGGAATGTATTTATCATAGTATCGACGTTATAAGTGGGGATCAAAATACAATAAAAGAACTTAGTATTCGGGGCAGAGTCTGTTGGATTGGGAGCCGCGATGAAGAAGTCATCGAACTCTATATACGACAGATCATGGAGCTGTGGAGCAAGGAATATTCCATTGCCATTATTCAGTGACGATTGCGCTACACCCTGAAGCCGGTCGCAGAATGATTTGGCGTAGGCTTCAGTCGAACCCGTTAAGGACGCGTAAAATACTAAAGGTTGGATAGCAATATCCTGGGGTAATCTCGCATGCCCGGTCAAGCGGTTTACATCATTTTTTAAGGGCTTCGTGCCATGGACTCTCTTTGGTCCATTAAGAGTCCTCTTGGTCCTTTTATCGCTGTCAGGGGAGGAGGATCGCGAAGGGTCATGTTTGGTCAAAGTTGCCGACGGGGGCTCTGTCTTGGACAACAACAACTCTCGATCCTGCACATCACCCGAATTTATGGTTTCCTTTGAAGATGGTGATGGGGATGAGCCGGAGGAGTGAGAGGGGTCGGATGTAGGGTATTTCGGGAGGAGTCGCACTACGGCAAGAACAACGGGGGCCAGGAAGAGTATAGGGATTCGATATTTATGCCACAGGGAGAGAAGCCCTAACGTATAGGTACGAATTACAGTTGTTAGCAGCAGAATTAAATCACCACATTGCCACGTTATCAGTACCAAAATGTTTTCTTAAGAAACAAGAGAAGAAAAAAAAAGGAAAAGAAAAGAAAAGAAGAAGAAGAAATAGAAACCAAAAAAGCATTCACGGTTTCCAGAACCTCGGGGAAATATACCCAGCACAATTCCAGTCATCATCATTAGTTGATGAACACGCTCTTTACTCCCACGCTCGGATGAGAATCGGCCAGTTATTGACCGAGATGCATTGAAAGTCCGTCCCTCCAAGATGTGGGCAAGGAGAGGAATATTTACCCTAATCCGCGTACGGGGCACTCCGTAGAATATTCGTAATGTTCTCTTTTCCCGCGTGGAGGGTCGTTCAAGGGTGAAGAACCTTCGGAAGCAAACGTTGAAATGGATTCTTCCCCTTAATAAGTTATCTACGTCGAGAGGGGTTGGATGAATTATATAATCCTTCTTTTCTTGGTTAGAGGTTTGCCAGCTGGAAAATTTAGGTTTCCACGTGATCACTCATGCCCTAACCCTAGCCCTCCGTGATTGGCCAGTTCAGCCCACGATTGATTCTCGCTTACTGCTAGCGCCGGTCAGCCCGCTGCCATCAGTATATAAGTCTCCTCAACCCGCGATCTTCTTTCTAAAATTCAGTCGACTTTACTTCAAGTAAGCTACCTCCTTACATGCAATCTATCCCCAACCCCCCACCCGCTACCCTTCATCCTCGGAATTTGCAGACCGGCCTTGAATATCCAATGCTAATATACGAATCCCTTAACAACAGAGAATCATTTCTATAGTAAATCGTCCCACCTGATTTTTTCGCACTAGCGACTGAATCCCCAACCTTGCTGATGACCACCATGTCCCCAGCGCCCTAGAGTGAAGCCTTTTATACTCCCGCCTCGATTACTTCGGTCACCGATTTTGTGTGTCTGCTTCAATCCAGGGAGTGGTGATGATCTTGACCTTGCCTTGGCGTCTTGACTTCGGTCGGCCTGGTTTGGTGGGCGCTGTGGAGGTCTGAAAGGTTCTAACCTCCCTCCTTTTTCCTCCCCCATTTTTATTTATTCATTTATTTCTTTTGAGAGTTGCGGATTATGCGGGGAGTACAATGATTCATACCATTTATATCGTATGGTCATATAGTCTCATAGAATAAATACGATTAACATAATTTCGTCTTATTAGATTAATGTGTGTGGGAGCTCTATATAAATTGTGGGGTTCCATAATTTTTATGTTTTGTATCCTTGCATATTGCCAGAGTTTGGGAGCCTGTATATACTCTTTAACTCTGCAGAATTTAAAAACCTACGCATACGCATTGAACACCTGTTGTGACATGTCATAGCTTGTTTCCGAGGTTCAATCTGTTTACGGTGGAGTTAGTGGTTGTTACTACTGCTAGATTGAAGCTGAAAACAGACCTCAGATTCGTGGGAATGATCTCATCTCAGCCCATGGATGCAAAATCCCTCTTCCATCAACTATTGTAAGCAGCAGAGTTTAGTATTACTTGACATCGATGTCTACGACCCTCGTACAGTTCCGGCGCTCGCAGGTCGACTCAGGGCCGGCCGTCAGGCTGAAGAGGCATTCTTGTTGGCTCCGCCACCTACAACACCCCCATCATTACCTCCAGTATTGGCTCCTCCTCCCCCTCCCACCGTTTTGTTAAATTCACCCCTGCCTCTATTGCCTCGACGGGTATGTCGTGATGGTGCAGGGCCTGTACCTCCTGACCCAACCCGTGTTGCCGGGCCGGTTGGAGACGGGCTTGCTCGATTGTTGCTGCTGGCATTTCCCCTTGCCTGCGCGACTGCTGCTCCAGATTTTCTTTCCAGAACGACAACCTGACTTTGGGCAATCTGGACGGGGCTCGCTTGTATAGCTCTGCTTAGGCCCTCTGGTTCCGCAAAGTCCACGTAACCAAATCCTTTCTTTTTGTCTATCTCTACCCTGATGACCTTTCCAAAAGTAGAGAAACCGCTGGCAAGCAGTTCCTCAGTCACTCCCTGTGATGGATTGGCATGTTTTAAGAAGGCTTGCGTAGCACTGGGCAGGGGAACCGCCTGTGCAGCGGCCGGCGTAGCTACCAGTTTAGGTCCGGATGGTGCAGAAAAATTCGCAGGGCCTGTTGAAGGATTTGTCTGTTTGTTTGTATTACGACCTGCTGAAGTGTCGGTGGGCGTAGGAGCTTTTGGTGCTTTGGTAAACGTGATTTTATTGTTGGACGGTTCAGCTCCCTTGTTGCTGGTTTTAGTCGACAAGAGCTGTTTGTTATTATTTTTATGTAAAGGAGAAGTTGCTTTGGTAGTCTCAGTATTCAGTGGCGGTGATATAGCTTCCGCGCCCGTTGACTTCTCCGATCTTCTCCGCTGAGTTGCCGAGCCAAGCCCCAGGTCCCGACGTAGAATTTTCGTTGCAGCACTCATGCTTCCTCGTTCTCGCTTGCGTTCGGGTGGTGGTGTGGCTTGTGCAGGGGATTCTTCCTTTGCCGGGCGGGATGCAACCATTTTCCCTTGTGGTTTTGCGGCTTGACTAGCAGCTTGTTTGTTAACAGCCTTAACAGCTTCCTTGGTGGCCCTGTCAACCTTTGACTGTCTGTCTCCTGGTGATGTTATCAGTCTTTCTGTGCGGCTCAACAACTTCTTCGCATGCACCCGTTCACCCTTGCTATCCCTTGACTCCCTCATCTCGCCACGAGCGTGTCTCGAGGGCTTAGCCGGGGAAACTGCTTCCCTGCCTTTATTCGCCTTTTTCTCTCTCAAGAACTGGATGAGTGGTGTTATTGTTGATTTCTCTTCCTTCGCATCCTCCGCACTGATATCCATAGTAGTCTTGGTAACCGGGTTGGTTAAACTCTCGAGGAATGCAATGAAATCAGAATCCAGGTCAATTGTTCCTTGGCGGCCATCCTTGCGAACCCTGCTTCCCGGTACACGGGGATATGGTGCATATTCCAGGGCCGGTGGTCCCAAAAGAACAGGATCACGACTGGTGTTCTGCGCATCTTGAAAAGACGATTGGCGAACTTTTTCGGATAACTCTTCCACCAAGGGCGTGGAAGTAACGCGTAGATATACCCTCGTCGGTTTGGAAGGCTTTGCCCGACTAGTGTGATGGAAATCAATGGTCAAAAACAAAAACAAAACAAAACAAAAACAAAAACAAAAACAAAAAAAAAAAAAAAAAGAGCCTATGGACGCTATCTATGACGGTCGTTTGAGGAGCAAGGATATATAAGGGGAGGAGGGGATAGGAATAGTTGAGTAAGGACTTACTCTTTCGAAATCTTGCCGTCCCTGAATTGTAGCCAGTCGACTTTTCCATTCCCGACCTTCCACTCATCACCCAGAGAAGCTTCAAATTCCTGATATGTGAGACCAGGAGGAAGCCTTCGAATCAATAATTTCAGCCTTGGAGTAGCTCCTTTGGAGCTCTGTTTGGTCGAAGACCCTTTCTGTGTGGCCGAGGCAGAGATGGGAAGAACGCCAGCAGAAGAGAGTTTGGGCGATGGTTGGGCCATTGTCGACGAAGAGTACACCTGCTGCTGGATGGGCTCATGCAGGTACCTAAGTAACTAAGTATGAATGTATCCTAAGCTACACAATAATTATATAGATGGTTGTTGGAAGGTCATCGGGGTTGTGGGCTGTTAAATGTAGGTTATTGAGTTGACTGGTTGGGAAGAACCAGCGCACCCCATGGGAGATCAAGGGAAAGATAACTAGACAAGCCCTCAGAGGAGAGTTATTCTACTAGCCATTTAACTAATAACTAACTGGTTCAACTAGCCGAGATGTTAAACCGTTTAAAGGGGAAGGCACGTGGTTAGGGTAGCCGCAGTATCCGCTAACAACCAACCAACCAACCAACCATGCTCGCGGGCGCTCACTAAACCAATAAAATTCATTATCAGGCGTCTGTACAACAACATTAAAGAAAATCATGTAAAACTATATTATCTTTTTCTAGTGGGCTGTGAAAAAATTATTAATTTATGAATTCATCTGTTTTATAACTTAATAAAAATAAAATTTATAAACTAATAAATTAAATAATAAAAAATTATTATTAACTGAAGAATAGAAGTATTTTAAAATAATTTCTTAAGTATATTTTATAAAAAAATAAAAAAAAAAAAAAAAAATTATATATATAATAAAATAAAAACATATTAAATATATATAAATTGTTAGGGGGTGAATCTAAGCTGCATAAGAAGGAAACTCTCTGCGTTATTAACTGCCATGTAATGAAAATACTAAGGTTGATGAGGAAAAAGAGGTGTTAGGATCTGCTCAGATTATAACAGGTCACATGTGAGATGTGGTCATGTGATGAAGATTAACCTAGCCCTGGCACTTAAGTCTAACATCACTCTCTGATTTAGAAACAAGCATGTCCTCATGCTGGAAAATTATCATCATCTTCATCTTTCAGATAGCTGCCTGTCTCTCATGCTCTTACTCATTCATCTAGGCATTTCAGTGATTCAGCTTTAATAGAGTTGGCCTCATGAAAATTTTATATTGTATATGATGATTTTTTGAATTTGCAGATGAAATATTATAAAAAATTTTCATTAAATCTCTTTTAGCACATCTAATACTGCAGCTTGCTCTGGCTTATTCAACTGATTAGTATATAATTTATTTCTCATTCATTCTCACTATCTATTTCAATTGAGTCTGATGATCTGACAGTTTGATCATATAGAAGACCTCTGAAGTTCTTATGTAGCTTGTTTGAGAAGAAGATTGAATGAATCTTTATTATTACAGAGAGATTCAATTTATAGACATTGCTCATTTTTTTTAGAATTCTGAAGAAGTCAGCATTCTGCTCTGTCAGTTTACAGTTTGATTGATTCATATTATATAATTTCAATATTAGATAAATAAAATCTTCTACTATAAAGTTAAACTTTTGATAATGCTTGTTAGTCTATCTCTTTATCTGTTTCTATGCTGTTCTTATGTCTTTACTTATTTGATTTCAGATCTCTCTTATTCAGTGAATGAAGCTTCTTGCTGCTTTTTAATTTCATTTCTTATTTATATTCAATTTCTCTATCAGTGATTATCAGTCAAATGATATTTGAGATTCATATTCATTTACTGTGAGAAAAAGAAACATTTCTGTAAAAGTATTTGAGATAGTTGCAGAGA